CATGAAACCAATCATGGTGCATTTGAAGACAAAAATAATGATGGGCTCAAAGTGAAAATGACTTGGAATCAGAAGTGGAATATTTTCAATGTGCAGAGTATAAGACACAGTTGAAATGTATAGGCCTCGTTTGCCAAGATTAAATTGGTTCAAAGGGCCTGAACTGCTGAATTCTCTAAAAAGAAAAGCGTTAGTTAAAATTGATTTTAGCCAAATTTGGGCAGTATATGAGGAATAAGCCAACTAATGCTCCATCAAACAGGGTCTTAGACACACATTTGAGTTATGGGAAATGAATACCTTGAAATAGTGAACTGTTTGTTTAAGGAAATCAGGCATAGGCTGGAAATCAGCATCGAAGATAGCAACAAATTCGTAGTCTTTTACATAGCTGCAAGTCATTGCAGACTTGAGATTGCCAGCTTTATATCCCTCCCTAATCACTCTATGCCTGTACAAAATGTTGATACCTTCCTTCTGCCATTTATAAACCTCTTCTTTAATTAAAGATTGGGTAATTGGATCATCAGAGTCATCAAGAACTTGAATCAATATTTTTTCTTTCGGCCAGTCTAAGTTACACACGGCAGCTATAGATTGCTGATAAACCTAGCAATAACAGAAAAGAAAATATATAAAAAAAACATTAATTTTTTTAATTGCTAAATATAGGACTAAAAGATAGAAAAAGTTCTAAAATAGGACCAAGCTTGTTTTCTTTGAGATTTATTTAGCCTTGTTACAAAATAAGTTAATGAAAACATCTCAAAATAGGAGTGAATCAGTCCTATTTTTGGGAATGAAACAACAGTAGTCCAATTTTAGGATTGCAAATGCTCTTAATCTTATTTAGTGAATTTTCTCTTTTTTAAGTAACATTTAAAGATCAGAAAGAACAATCACTAACCTCTCTTTCATTGCACATTGGAATCTGTACAAGAACCATGGGGAAGTAACCAGATTCAAGATCTGATGTTCCATGTTTGGAAATTGGTTTTATCTTCCTTAAACGGATCCAGAAACAACCCAAACAGAGGACAAGCCTGTCTAGACTCTGGATTATAAAGAGGATAACGCAGACATTGGCCATGAATTGGAGAGGGGGGGCAATATATTCCACCCTAACAAAAACCCACGTGTAATATAGCCAATCAAACACGCCCTTAACCGCTAAAGGATCAGTCAAAGTGTATAGATACTCAAATTGAAGATCTACAGCTCTTAAGTGCCACCCCTTGTAATATGCTGCAATCTCAACCCCTAACATGACTAAAGACAGCCAAAGGAAGACCTTTATGCAGCTGTAGAACCGAGTCGTGACATTCGGATTCTCCGCCGCGCTGGTATCGGCGGAGTCTGTTCTCCCGGCAGAAACCCGGCGGCGGACGACTGAAGCAAGGCTGACAAATGCGGTGGCGATGGATGTCAAGCAGCCGGCAGCCTTGTGCGCCTTCAGAAGGAGAACCCAGGTTAACTGCTTGGCATTCTTGTGACGAACCTTCTCCCGGCGGTGGTTTGTCGGCGGCATTAGAAAGTCGTCCTCCGACGGAGATTCCAGCTCCACCATTGACCAGTTGTTTGGGTTCTCCATTTTCACCACCACGGGGGTGCCTCTACGGCTTTCTTTAGCCCACCAACCAAACGAGGGGGCCATTTCAGAGCTTATCCAAACAAAACTTCTTTCAAGATTGAATCTTTCACTTCCAGGCTAAAATATAATCACAATGCGAAATACCCAGAAATCCCAACACTATTGGGACTCCATAACAGTACCACGGGATGAAGACGAGCTCAATTAAAGCTCCCAAAAGTTCTCTCTTATTTACACACGCAGGAAAGGGTTGGTATGTTTTGGAAAGAGATTGGGGGGAGAGAAAGAATGTAAGGGTAACAGCTCAACACGTCTTGGATTTTGATTCAAGATTTCCAAGAAAGGGAAAGAAAATCAAAATTAAAAGGACCATATAACGAAGAAACAGAAAAATGAAATCTTGATACTGCTTGTTTCTTTTTTTAAAAAGAGAAATAGAAACAAAACCGATCTTTATGACCAAAAAGAAGATAAATTACGGTCTTGAAACTAAAGAATAAAAGGGATCACCAGAGGAAATTATTACCCCGTGTGTGCAGATATTTATTTGATGTTAAAATATACACTCAGATACGTGCAATATATATTACACCTGAATGTAAGAACAGAAATACAGGTTTGATTGAATTTCTGATGAAAACAGTGATGATGAATCCTGGATCTCCTCCTTCGTATTTGAATAAACCGTGAGTAATCAGCTTAATTATGGAAATAACACAATGGCGCTCTCCTGAAAGATTTAGAATTTCAATAAGATAAAAGAATGTTTTTAACAAATTGAGGAATTAAAGACGAATTTAATTTTCAACATACATGCCTTAGTTGTTCTTCAATCACACACGGAAATAATGTTGAAGGAGGAGAAGGATATTACCATCACCTTTGGCTTCTCATATGATCCTGTATTCTGTTTATCAAAAATGAAATAAAAGAGACTACAGGATGTGACAAACAATTAGAAAGTTTCTGTTTCAAGTTTCACGGATTGTTTGTTTTTATATTTTATTTTTCGACGTGTTTTTTACAATTGTAACTTTGAAAGTGGTAAACTTGTAATCCCTCTATTTTATTCAATGCAATCCGTTAGTATTTCCCCAAGATTTAAAATATATTACCTCCACCCTGATTTAAGATTTCCATTACAAAATAACACAAATATTTATACAATAATTCAATAAAGTAATTCCAATATATTTCGAGAAATAATTTTGATGAATGTATTGTACAAGGAGGTCATTGATGATAATTATGATTTTATATATGTATTATGTTTAATATTTGATAATTAAATTCTCATTTAAGAGTGTTAGTTATTTCATAAATAGAAATGAGAACCTGCGGCGTTGAGGCGGCGAGCAACTGAACATTTGCCGTTTTTTGTGTTCCCAAGAGTGCTATGTAAAACAGTATCTCTAAAGAAAAGTAGACGGTTCCCTAGTGTTTTCTAGGGTTGATTTTTCCGGTGAAGGTTCTCTTGTGTCCGGTTTTTTTGTTTCAGACGAGTGGAAGGATTTTCCTACGAAAACTCAATTTTCAGATGAAACAACAAGGGCTAGTTTGGTTGGCAAGAAGGGCAAATGCATGGTAGGGAGCGGCACAATCAAGGACCAAGACGAGCTTGATATTTTAAATCACATCTACGATCTCTTGGTCTTGGAGGAAGAAGATGGTTTGTCCTCCTTCAGAACATGTGACTAGGGTTTGGTCAACTGCAGTTTCTTTCTTTATTTTTGTTTCAAGCTTTATTTTTCTTTCGTTAGACATTTCACCTTATTTTGGACAAATATTGTTAGTGGCATTCTTGAGGTCATTAGTTGCCTCAAAGATTCCGTATGTTCAGCGATAAGTTTCGTTCAATTTTGAGTGAATTTTTCTATATCTGATTAGGAACTGAGAGGACCTTTCGGCTATTATGAGGTTATTGGAGTGATGAAGAGTACGATGACCTTAAGGGTCTATATGAACTCTATGTTGTCCGTTTGGTGGTCAGCGATTCGTGTTGCTTCTTTGGACATGGTCATCTCAGAGTCCGATCGTAGGGTTTTTATTGAGTGCAAATGGTGCCTCTTGGAAGATAGATGGTGGAGTTTGAATTATTGGTTGATTGTAACTCTTGATTTGATCAAAAAATGAGAACCTTTAGCCGGAATGTTCAAAAAAGGAAAGCGACAGCCTAAAATTGAGATGGAGGGAGTAATTCTTACATTGTAACTTATATGGAAAATTAGAAACTATGCTCTATGTCCCAAATTGATTTGCAAAGTGAATATTTTTTTTATAAACAATGTTAAAGGTTTTTTTAAAAGAACCAATGTTAAAGTTAAATCCTTCCTATTGATAATTAATTCAAATTTAATAATTAAGATCAACATATTCACAGAAACTATATTAATTAAAATAATTCTACACTAAAATAATAATACTACGTAATAAATAAATGCCATTATATGTCCTAAATCCACTACGGACTTAAATAAAACTTATGTTATGAATATAAAAATCATGTATTGTGGTATTGGGATATTTTATTTCTAATGAGTTATAACTTTTCTATGATAAAGGTCGTCAAATGTTATTATTATAAATGTTACTTTAGACATAAAAGGGCTTTTCAATTTTTGTTAAGATTTCAGTCAAAAAAAAAAATTGTTAAGATTAGATCCATTTTTAATTACCCTAGACTTTGAAAACATACAAGACCGACTCTGCATACGTATACATGCATTTGAATTACTTGAAAGTAAACATATCTTACATATGAAATAAAAGGCATTGGAATTAACTTGAAAGTAAGCATATCTTACATACAATCATTATTTTATGAATACTTATGAAGTTTAAAACAATACACATTTAGATGTTAAAAAAAAGGTTACTTTTTTTTATTACTTTTTTCAGTTTTAATAAATACACGAGTTCATGTAAAGTTTGATTATTTATGAAGACACCATAAATTTAAAAGTTGTGTTTCATGTTTTTTGGGCCCAAAAAACTACAACAGTTAAAACTTGATTTTTTTACTTTATATATGTAATATACCGAGTATATTGATGTTATATTAAAGATCGTACAAATTTATTATTTTGATACGCACTTGTATATGTTTTGAAAAATTTGGAGTACAAATTAAAAATTATAAAGCTTTTTACAAATGTTTTTTTTACACAAAGATGGCATCAACATGACATCATTCGCTCCACGTCAATACCACCCCTTTTTCTACTCTTAATACCCTTATTGCTACCCCAATATATATGTACTTAGAAGTTCCACATTTTAACTTTTGGGACTCTTAAAACCCTTGCACTATTAATAGTCTTACCCATCAATCCGTCAATGAAGTCAAAAGTACAACCAAACAAAAACTGAAAATGTGTATACCCTTGAACCCAACATATCCAAAATATAAGAAAGTTTACATCTCTATCTTTGGTTATTAATCGATAATATTTCTCGTCTGAATACATTATGAATACATTCATACGTAGTATTCTACAAAGGGACACAAGTGATGAAGATAACCATATATTCATGCGTTCAACGAGGTGTTAGTGAAGTGATAGTGACTTCATTCATAGACACAGTGGAATGATTGGCTGGAGAAAGTTCAGCTTTAACTCCTGCAGCCAGCACACTGCCGGTAAAGAAAGCTGGCTCTTTAGGTTGAGGCAAGTCCACCACAGCAGCATCATTTACCAACATCTTAACTGCACCAGACATGTTTGGCCTATCCTCCGGTCTTTGTTGAACGCATAGTAAGCCGACATGGATTGCTCTTATAACTTGAGCCACATCGCATGATTCTGCTATATTCTCATCCACCAGCTCTATTGCCCTTCCCTCCATATTAAGCTTCCATGCCTGCAACAAGGAACATTATTAATTATATGAGGCATTAAACTGGTTACTATAAGTTACTCCATGTATCTTTTCTCTATGTTATGTGTGCATAAGCATCACTCAACTTAATGAAAAAAAAAATGATTCTTACATGCCCAAGCAAGGTTTCATCCTGATCTGCATCAAAGACATAGTTATTTTTCCTTCCACTAACTATCTCCAATACTAAAACGCCAAAGCTAAATACATCTGACTTCAAAGAGAAGATTCCATGAGCAGCATATTCTGGAGATATATACCCACTGCATACAAATTGCAAAGATAGCATACATTACTGTGAGAAGAACCTCAACGGGATATAAAATATTTGATGTGTACGAAATGGAAAATAAATGAGATATGATATTACTGAGTTCCGGCAATTCGTTTTGTTCTATCTGCTGTCTCATCAACTCCCACATTCTTAGCTAATCCAAAGTCTGATATCTTTGGGTTTAGCTCAAGATCAAGCAAAACGTTGCTAGCTTTGAGATCTCTATGGATAATTCTCTGTCGAGAATCTCGATGGAGATATAACAATCCTCTAGCAATTCCAACGATTATATTAATGCGTTTATTCCAATTCAGCAACTTTCTTTTCTTTTGATCTGCCACACCAGTGCTATCAAATATAAAACATTTGTAGCCGCATTCCGAAAAAGGTTATTCGGCTGAAATGGAATGACTTGACTCACTGAATTTTCTCAAGGGAAATTTATCTATATGTGACTAAAACATTTATAAATTCCTAATATATGACCTAACAAGCATAAGCAAGATTATATGTGAAAAAATAGCATCAAGACACATAACATACATGCAAAACACCATTAGCTTAGGAATAAAAAACTGTTTAATCATACTTTAGGAATCACCAACTCTTTTAGTCATACTCCTTGTAATTTTCTCTTTTATGAATGGAAGGCATTTGGTAACATCCATTTCAGCCAAATCATCAAGTCAAAAGCTACTCCTTATGAGGATAAGTATACTAAGCTGATTTTTAAATTTTTTAGTTACACATAAGAGGAGATCGATGGCCAAACCAAAAATGAAGATGTCCAAACTTTTGTTAGGCATGTATTCATATATCAACATTTTCTCTTCCCCACTAATGCAGCACCCCTGAAGCTTGACAAGATTCCGGTGCTGTAATTTTGCGACACATATCACTTCATTCTTGAATTCTTCAAGTCCTTGTTGGGAAGTCTTTGATAGCCTCTTCACTGCAATATCTTGCCCCCCATCCAAAGCACCCTGGGAATTTTTGAAACTCAATAAATTGAAGGTATGTTTAGGAGCAGTATTGGAGGGTATTGAAACTTGAAAGGGAAGGGATTTGTTATTTTAAATTATTAAATTAAGAAAATAATTTGTGATTTATGATAATAAATGACAAGAACGTTGTGGTCATACTAATGTATTTCCCTTTCATATTAGTGTTTGCATTTCATTACAAGAGACAAATGGTGTGAGTGGGGTATAGAGAAGAGATAAATTGAAAAAGTACGCGGAAGTTAATATAATATCATAGGAAAGCATTATGTTCTTAAATAGATAAAGTATCATGTGAAAGGATTATGTTCTAAAGGAAATGGATGGAGTGTCATGTTAAAGCACTTTTTTTAAATGAAGAAACCCTCTCCCATGCCTTCCTCTCCAAATCCCCCCAAAACAAAAATCCCAAATATACCATAAATTAATGAAATTTATACACACAAAGACACACATATATCAGTAGCAAGAAAGTTGCAGGAGGCTAAAAACCTTGTAAACAGTTCCAAATCCCCCTTCCCCAAGCTTGTTTTGAGATGAAAAGTTATTTGTAGCTCGCGCTATCGTAGAAACATCATATAATGGCAGCTCAAATTCTTTCTCCAGCTTTCTTTTAGCAATTCTCCTTTTGCAAAAATACCACAAGGAGAAGCAGCAGGCCAGAAACACTAGAGCCAGCAATGACGATAAACAAAGTGCAATTATCTCTACTTTTTTCCTCTTTGAGCCTGAATGCATTGAAATTGTTGTCCCCCCTGTAGTAATAGGAAAATCAAGAATCCAGTTCCATTTTAACTTATAACAATGATATAATCACCTACTTCATTCGAGGGGATAACTTTTCGGTTGCCAGTTAATTTCAGTAGAGAAAATGGCAAAGTTTGGTGCAGCAGAAAAACTTTTTGTCTGAATATTTATTCTCTGCCATGCCAAAAAACAATTCCAAGCCCCTCTTGGTATTATCTTTTCCGCAATAAATTGATCAGAAGGAAAGTTGGATACAATGGGACAATATTACCCCTTGGTATTACATTTCTTCCTAAAACTCTACACTAATTTTTCCGACATGGATAAAATATACCACAGAGCAGAATAAAGTCAGGTAATTGACCTGCCAATGTGGAGATCAAAACCCTTTTGATTCTTTGCACATGGAATTCAAATTCCATTCCTCCTATATGTTTCCTTTATGCATACCAAACATGACATAAGTGAAAAAGTGGTTATGAGCTCTACCTACCTGCTGGAACATCCAATGAAGCCAGTCTGATGTATATGTCTTGCTTGCTCCCAGCTAACCATCTAATGTCAACCAAATCCCCTGACCAGAACAAACATCCACTTCCTCCGTTGCTTATATTGAGAGTCGAGTACGCCATACAAGAGCAATTCTTCAAACAAGTTTCTTTACACTCTTGAAGGGTTATCGAACTTTTATTATACCAAGAGTGCTTCGTATCTGGTAATTTGACAGCAGAGTACTTAAGAAAACTGTCTGATGAAGATCCATTGTGGCAATTCAGGGGTGTTTTCCTATGGCACCCTCGTGAAACGTTCCCAACAGCATTATTAGGCAAAAACTTATTAAGACAACCACACGTAGGATAGTTACCGATGTTGCAGATGCTATTTGCACCACATAAACTGTATGTGTCACAATTATCTGACGGCACACTTAAGAAACTCTGCCATTCTTTCTTTTGAGGATCCCATCCCCAAGCTTTTAGAACTCCATTGCTTGTGAGAACAAATCTTAATAAACCCAAATCTTGACCATACCATATATACACCTCCTTTTTATTCATAACTAGTCCCCGAGGGTTGGTATTCATTGACGCAGATGGTGTTCCACTAAAATGCAGACCATTCCATGGTCCCGAGCCATAAACCTCAGTTTCCCTGTTCTTGATTATAGCTTGTGGGTATCCAGTGAGGTCCACATGAAATGTGTATTCACCTGAAGCTGGTGCTTCTTCGTGCTCCCTTGCTGTGACATAAACCTCATGCCCGGATACTAGGTTCCAGCCAAGTTTCATCCCAGGCAAGTAATGATCAGTTGGATAATCAAAGCTTTGCCAGAGGAAATTCTCAGGGTTTTCATCTTCTGCTTCTCGAAGCACAAGATTCCCAGAATCCAGCAATTCTGCAACGGGGTTTTGTACCATTCTCGACATATTCACAGACCAAATTTCTTGGGCGTTGCCTCCAACAAGTGCCAACTGGCCACCCTGGGTGATCTTCAATAGTGCTGAAGACGTGTTGGCTATTGGGTTGTCTCTGTTCGCAACCCAAACCACTGTCTGAACAGGAATTTGATTGTACCATGTTCCTACATAATGGTTTATGGAATTGGCCGGGGTAAAAAATCCCATGACAAAGGTCCCATTCTTTGAAACGATGGTCTCACCATATCTAAGATATTGAGTTGTAGTGATCATATCAACTCCTACACAAGTCATTGATATGGAAAGTGAGTGTAACAGAAGAAAGGGTATGAAAAGAGTGCTCATAGTACTATCGGATGAAGATGAACCTGGCGACCATTCATTTACTTCAAATATCAATTAATGGGAAAGCATATGTTTAATATGCCAAAAAAAGTTGCTAAGAATTATAATATATTTAATTTATTTTTAAGCAAATTTTGACTAATTGCAGAATGATAGATGACTACCAACCACCACTTAAATGAAAAAAATCTATCCTAACAAGAGTATTAGAATAATATAAAATGGTAGTCGCATCAATCAACTTCCTGAGAAAAGAACAAATGTGTTATAAGTGATCTCTTAATCATCATACATGTCATTATCAATGTTAAATATTATCATGGAAATATGTATATACACTAAAAGATTTTGCAAAAAGCTTGACTTCCAAGCATGAAGTCTCACAATCATAATTGATAGTAATTGACTTTTCAAGATTGACCAATCCAAAATAAAATCGATAATCCATATTTGGTAGGATTAGTGCAGAATAACAAAACTACAAAAGCCATGCATCTCAATTGCAAAACAGAAAGGAACCAGAAAATGCAAAGCTTCCCTTCGTGAATTACTATGGACCAACAACCAAGCTGCCCAGCTTGTATACAGACATACAGTATAGTTTTATATTCTTCCTGGCCATCTCTGCTAAGAGAATAAGTGAAGGTCTATGTTTGGAATCTAGAGTAATAAATAGTGCAGAATGAAGCAAACAATCATTACTAGTACTCCTAATCAATGGAACTATCAAGCCAAACATTCAACACAAGATGTTCAAGAAAACTGTAAAATGAGATTTCCAAATATCCCTTGGCCCATGGGTGTATAACTATAGCTTCTAATTAACCTTGACAAAATATTTAGGAAGCTTGGAAACTTTTAAAATCCACTGAATTGTCAAAAAAAAACTACATGGCTATGCATGAATCTACAAGTTTTTTTCACTGTTATTTTTATTTTTATTTTCTTGGAAATATAAGCATCCAAATTGTGAACCTTGACGTACCTGAGGCAAGTCTTATTCAGCCTATTTCTGGAGATCGTAAAAATGGTGTAAAACACACAGCTGCTTTTGGTAACCATTTCAATTCCACCTTCCCATGAATATCAACATCTGCTGATCTACAAAGCTGACAACAATAAGTCCATAATTTCTGCTCAGCAATAATGTAACTGCGTCATAAACTTAGAAGGCTCATTGAGTCTTCCAGTTGTAGGCAGATTTACAGAACGCATTTTAGGAAAAGTGTTCTTTCTACGGAGTAAGATTTATCAGTAAATTACCATGAATCAAGTGAGACCAAGTTTCAAACAATATCATCCGAATGTTAACCCGGAAGGCATTGATATCTCCGCCATCCTCAAAGAAGCTACTTCCGTTGTTGCTAAACATACCGGAAAACCTGAAAGCTATGTGATGATTGTGTTGAAAGGATCTGTACCTTTGTCTTTTGGAGGGACAGAGGAGCTGAGCCAGCAGCGTATGGCGAGTTGGTCTCTGTTGGGGGACTGAATGCTCAAGTTAACAAGGATCTGAGTGCTGCCATACTTGAAGCCAAGCTGAAAATCCCCAAGACGCGCTATTTCCTGAAATTTTATGATTCCAAGGGCTACAACCTTGGGTGGAATGGCTCCCTCTTCTAGATGCCGCCGGCGTGCCCATAGTATTGAACTGGGGGGTTTGACGACGTGCTAAATGCTTTTATGAAGAAGAGAAAGTGTTGGCAATTTGGTCCTACCATAAGTATTCCTTTTATTCTTCCACACTCAGCGTTTTATACCAACTAATGGTCGGTAGGACCAAATTAGCTCCCGTTTAGACATTTCGTGTACTTTTCAATCTCGTTTGCATGATGAAGTACTCTTTACTTCATAATATGCATTTGATGAAAACTAGAATTATGTCTTTATCACCTTGAAATACTGACTCGCCTTTTGAATAATATCGATGATCAATGTCTTGGATTTCAAAAAAAAAACAATTACTATTACTATTATTATTATCACTATTATTAATCGAATATATTTGATTAATATTCGAATTTAATATACAAATATTCGTATTTGTATTTGATAACAATTCGTATCAAATTGAGTATTCATATTTGTATTTGTATTTGAATTTTTCGAATTCGAATCGTCATACGAACTCGAATCCCGAATCAAGCATAAAATGACAGAACCTCATGGCCTTCGTTTTGCAAGTGCTTATTACTTGACAATATCAATGTTTTTATAAAATGATGATTACATTATATCTCAATGACGACAATGTCAATAACATTGTAATATCATTGACATTGTTATGTAATTATTATTGATATTTAATTTTGGACAATGTCATTTTCAAAACGTCATGATAATGTCATCGTGCATAGACAATTCCAATCACAATGTCAATAACAATGTCAATAACAACAATATTGTTTTCCAGGAAAACTTACTAAGTTTCAATAAGAGCCAACTGCAGATCCTCTAAAACAGACCTGAATGTAGCTCGCTATAAAACAAGATAAGTGACTAATTGTTTTAAAAAAAGACAAATGACTAATTAAATGGATCAAAAAAATAATAATTAAGCAAATAATGTGCTACGTAGTAAAAGTTAAACAAAACAATAAGGGCCTATTTACTAACAGTGATATTTTCCAGTTTTCCAGAAAACTGGAAAACAGGAAAACAGAAAACAAGAAACGTGTTTACCAAATAAATTGCTGGAAAACTGGAGAAAGGAAAAAAGAAAAACGTGTTTACCAAATAGTTTTCCAAAACGGAAAAAACGAGACATGTCTTTCTTTTCCTTAATATTTGGAGAAGTGACTTTTACTAGTTTTCGAAATTTGGAAAACGCAGATGCTACAGTGCCGCTGCAATGAATTTGCATACTTACACCTAGTGGTGGGTCCAGTCCCGCTCCGATGTCGATTCCATTCCGGTACCTCCATCCTCATACCTTACCCCTTACCCCTACCCTGCCCTACCCTACCCACCCAACCCCGCGTACCCATTTTCCCTATGATGACCCTACCCCACCCCCTACCACATGCCCCTACCTCGGCCCCACCCCGATCCACCCTACCATGCTGCCACCCCCCTACCACCTTGACCCCACCCCGACCCACCCGACCCTACCCCCACCCGTATATTACCCCTTACCCCTTACCACATGCCCCCTACCTCGGCCCCACCCCACCACTATGCTACCCCCCCTCGTACCGCCATCCTACCCCCCACCACCATCCTACCCCCCCACCCTACCCTTTCCCTACCTCGGCCCCACCCAGATCCCGGGCCCACCCTACCGCCATCCTATCCCAACTCCCTACCCTACCCACTACCCCCCACCCTTACCGCCATCCTACCCCCCACCCTACCCCTTCCCTACCTCGGCCCCACCATGGTCCCGGCCCCACCCTACCGCCATCCTATCCCAACTCCCTACCCTACCCCTACCTTACCCCAACCCTACCCACTACCCCACCCTTACCCCTAACCACGACCCTAACCCACCCACTACCCCCACCCAACCCCCTACCCCTAGACCTTTGATAAGTCCGTATTTAGACACGCATTTGATGCGTGTTCGGGTTGGATTTTGATGATTTTCCTAGCTTTAAGGCGATGCAAGTCTCAATTTTGGCTCAAGTTGTGTTTAGCAGGCGTTGGATCGAGTTTCATTGCATTTGGAGTTGATTTGAAGAAGTTAGAGTCCGGCAATCGGCGCTTGAGAGGCATTCGGGAAGGATTTGAAGGCATTCGAGAAAGATTTGGAAGATTTGGAGGCCACCGGGAGATTCGCGACGAAATTCTGGTGAAGAAAGAGCAGTTGGATCGACCTCATTGGCATCCGG